TGACTTTTTAAAATTATTAAATCTAATAATTCTGCGTAATTTATTATGATCATTTCGAATTTCATTGTACTTTGGCTAAAACGAGTTGAGAAAAAAAGCCCAGTCTGCCATCTAGTGGTAAATAATCGAAAATGTTGTGGATTTGTTTGTTATAGTGGTTGAAGCCTTTTGACATTAGTTTTTCTTTTCTTTTTAATAATAAAAAAGAAAACTATTTGTTGTTATTTTTTATTCTTTAAACAAAATGAAAAACGTTTCGTATTTTAGTTTTAAGAATGAAAAACGATTCGTTTTTTTTGCTTGTTTTTCTTTTTTTTTATTCTCAAAACGAAACTACTAAATGACTTGTTTAAAACATTTTATTAATTAAAACATTTTTTTACGTTTACAATCTCAATTGTAAAATCCCAAGCATTCATTTGGTTTCAAATGTTTTTGTTTTAGTGCTAACTACAGTTTGTGTCCTGCAGAGGGCAATATTCTACTATTCTACAAACTCATCCAGTATTAATGTTCAAATGATATTAACCCTTAACGTTAGGGTTATTGAAATGACAATTTATTTAGCTTCACCATTTTCCCTTCTTTTTCGCAGAGACAGTTGAAATAAATTAAGCCCCAATGTCACTGCATGTATCCGAGAGTTGCTGAATGGCTCCCATTTAGGGAGGTTGAAGTTGTACGAGTTTGCAAAAAAAAACCCGCCTCGAAAAACTTCAAAAAGAGATAACCGACTTTGATAGTAAAACGTTTTCTCGGCTAAATGCATTTTGCTGACCTAGTCATGATGAGGACACCGCCTGGATCCTCCATCTGACATGTGGTTTTGGGTGTCGTGTCGCTCATCGACAGACCGACTGACACTCCCGGGTTTGAAACACCGACACTTTATAATGAAGTAGAACATTAACCGAGAAAGTTAAATCGCACCGTGGAGCGGATGAGTTTTCACTTTTTCTTGAGAGACGAACTCGGCTGCGAGCTTGAGGTGTTCAGTGGAAGGATTCTCTTGGATTCCATGTGGATATGGGGAAAATGAAGGGTAACGGGGCTGCTTTAAGCTTCAAGAGTTGAAAATGCCTTTACTTGTTTGACACTATGTCAAATTTTACATTTACTTAGTACTGTACCAAAATTCTTAGCTTTCTTGACGTGTATTATTTAATTTTAGGATTTCTCGATAGCACGATGCACTGCAAGTGAAGCATTGTGCTCCAAAACAAAATATGTGCACGAAACTTCTTCAGACGTATTCTGCCTTAAATACTCCTCTAGCTGTTTCTTTTTGCGTTACTAAAACCTGGATGCAATTTTATAATAGCTTTTGAGATTTTTTGTGGTGGGGGGTGGGGGGCAAAGAAATATGAATATTTTAAATTGCATTGCGAAAATGTGGTGCACTGTCTAGTATTGGTGAAATAGCATTTTACTACAGTTATACAAGTACAACCATGTTTCTGATGTGTTGAATTTGCTATTTTACGTGTAGATGTTGATGGAGAGAACCATGGTAAAGGAAAGCGGTCTTCAGTAAGTTGTTGATGTTTTATTTTGTTTACACGTAATATTTTTTTTCTTGTATAACATTTTTTTTATAAATTGGTGAGTTTGTAAATCTTCTAAATACTCATTAAAACTTCTCCCTCAGAACTCACACAGATATCTGAGAGGAAGTGCCGTATGACTCTGAGAATATGGAAAGCTTGTTAGTTAAAAATGCTTGTTTTATTGTTTACAGAAACTATGCGGGACAAACTACCCGGTCAGCATTGCCTTCATTGTGGTGAACGAGTTCTGTGAACGATTCTCTTACTATGGAATGAAAGGTATTTAATTGAAAATAACATAGTCATGTGAAATAACATGGGATTTATATTGAGTTTAAGAACATCAGGGTCTAGTTTGATGTGTATTAGTTTTTTTGTCATCTACCCCCTAGGGGGCAGTGCTAGCGATCGTGTACTCAAAGCTATTAAAAGAGGAAGATGTCTTATAATTAATGTCAGCGCTTGAATGCATGCATTTTGAGCCCGCCACAAAACAGTGTCATGAAATAATAAACAATTCACTATGTAACGTATCTCAGGATGCTTTCAATCTGCTATAAAGCAAAAGTGACATCCTAAAAATGTACATTTGCTTCAATTTTAGAGATCAAAAAAGCTCACAGACCCGGCTCAAGACCTGATAATGCAGGTCAAATTTCCTTGTCGAAGCCAAATCCATAATCGCACCGCGTAGGCGGGAACTTCCGCATTCGTATCGCCACATTCAAGTCAATGGAATTTTTTTGCAGCTACTAGACGATATCTCCTGGTAACTCCTGGCGTGCTGTAACATAGATTGTTACACCCCTTATATTTACATGTTTTTTTATTCTCTTCAATGGCTTACTGTGAATCTACACATTTGTTATTCAGGAAAATATACATGTCTTATTCGAAAGTAAAAAAAATTAACAGCCATTTTTGTGTGTTTGTGTGTGTGTGTGTGTGTGTGAAGCGGTGTTGACTCTTTACTTCATCAACTACTTCAACTGGAACAAGAACCTGTCCACATCTGTGTACCACGCTTTCTCAGGCCTGTGTTACTTTACTCCACTTCTGGGGGCCTTGATCGCAGACTCGTGGCTGGGGAAGTTCAAGTAAATCATACAGTGATTTTCTTAGAACTCACACATTGGGATCAATTCTTATAATAGAATTATTCTGTTTTCAGAACCATCATCTATTTGTCTATTGTCTATGTAATTGGTCATCTGGTCAAGTCTGTCGGCGCCATCCCTGATGTTGGAGACAAAACAGTTCATGTGTAAGCTTGTCTGTTTGAATAAAGGGGCTGGTATTTGTACGTGTAATGTGACTAAAGGGGTTTTGTTGTTGTTTCCTCAGAGTTCTGTCGATGCTTGGTCTGGGACTTATAGCTTTAGGAACAGGAGGAATCAAACCTTGTGTTGCAGCTTTTGGGGGTGATCAGTTTGATGAGGAGAATGTAAGTCATCCTATAAATGACTGTCGTACACTCTCCGCAGATGCTTCTGTCAAAGTCAGTTTCATAATTTTTTAAGAGAAATCCAGAAATCTTGGATAGAAAACCATGACTGAAAAAAACACAGGAGACACCCGTGACTACAATAACCTGTTTGAGCAATGTAATTTGGTCTTTAACAAAGTAAAGGAAGTGATTTTGGCTTATATTAGGAAATATAAACAAACAATGACGCTACACAAAATGGTAAAGTACATTTTTATCATCATTGCATCTTTTACAAAGGCTCCACCCACATTTGGTTAGTCATGTTTTAGGCAGTCAAAAGTGGCACACAATGTCTCCTTTGGATTGGTTGCTGGCAGTTGTTATTGGCTGACCCAAATTTCGGCAGATAATGTTATTGTCTCATTTGCAAAAAGCCCACATGACTGTTTTCATTAAATAACTAATAATGGAACACACACAATGAAAGTTGTGTCAGGGTGGAATATCATTTTAAACTATATTTTAGTGAAAACATGTTCCAGCTTCTCATTGTTTTCGTTATCAAGAGCCACTATCCTGAAATCCTTTTCTTTGTTCCTTGCTGAACACATGCTAAACTTCTCCATGAAGTTTTTTGTTAGGCGGCTTGAAAAGTTACTAAACCTAGCAAAAAAAAAAGTCGCTAAGTTGTTACCAGTGTTTGCAGGTGGCTAATCTAACTTCCGGGTTGCTTAGCAATAAAAGGAAACAATGTTTATATATACATTTACGAGCTGAGGAATCATACAGGTAGCACTTGTTTTTGATTGGATGTTGCACGTGACAATCTCTTCTTGTCATCATAAACTTTTCTTAACTTTGTGGCATAAGACATTTCAAGGTTACTTGCTACTGCAAAGTTTTGGTTTTGAGGGTTTTGGAAAAAAATGTGTCCAAAGATGTGTCAGTTAGCTTTTATTGATTAAGAATAACATTGTTGTAGTGCACTGTATGCTTTGCAGCTTTCTGAACAAATAAAAGCCTGTATTCTTCAAAACTTAAAATTGTGATTTGGTCCCCAAAACTCCTGCCTTGGTCCCTTTACTCATGAAACTAAATGAAGTTTTAGTGACGAGTGTTGTGGTGAACCTCAAATGTTAATTTGCAAGCTGAAGTAAAATGTCTTAGTGAGGCCAAAACGTAATGAGCGTTACATTTGACCTAGATATTTTGCTTTTTCTTATCTAGACAGACGAGAGGCGAAAATTCTTCTCCATCTTTTACATGTCAGTCAACGCTGGAAGTGTTTTGTCCACCATCATCACACCAATACTAAGAGGTCAGTCTCACGATAAGGCTAGAGTTGTTAATGCTTTAAGTTTCGTTTTCATGTTGATTCGCTACTTAATTTCATAGGTGATGTGCAATGCTTCGGGGGAGACTGCTACGCCCTAGCCTTTGGAGTTCCTGCAGCTTTAATGGTTGTCGCTTTGGGTGAGAATTCTCAGTTTCCAGGGAAAATATGCAAGAAAACTGTCAGAATGTAGTGTCTCCTGGCATTTCTTTTCAGAAGTAACAGAATCTTGTTCAAACACATCACTTTTCACTCTCCATGAAACCTTTATGGAGAGAGAATGGATTTATGCTTTGGTTGAATACTAGATAAATCCCCATGTATTATGTTTTATTCTGCAAATACTATGTTTTATTTTTAAAGCATTTTGTATTGCTATTATTATTATTATTATTATTATTATTACTATTATACACTGTTCTCACAACACGATAAATGTGAAGATTACATCTTTATACGATGATATGATATGTAACATAAAAAAAAAACAGAAATGAATACAAAACTATTTTACTACGTATTATCGAAAATATTTCAATGTTTTAAATGTCAGTGGGAAATAAAACAGAATTCATGAACTAAATCTCAACGTTTTAAGATGGTAAAGCTAACTAGATATTTACGTTTACGCATTGGGCAGACGCTTTTATCTAACGCTATTTACAAGCAATTAACACATTCTGTTAATTCTTGATATCCCTGGGGTTCGAATCCATGACCTTTGAGTCACTAGCGCAATTCTCTACTGACTGAGCCACAGGAAAGCTTAAGTTTGTTCACAATCTTTGATGTTGGCTTACAAAAGTACTGTATAAAGTATTTTTAACATAACATAACATAAACCAACTCCCATGTATCTATTGTTTTTCAAAGCTGGGATAGAGATATGCCAAATTGATTTGCTATGGTAAACAGTCTGATTTCTATGGAATTGTCAGTGATTAAACAAACCCCGTTTCGCTAATGTTTGATTTTTCAGTAGCCATTTTAAGTCAATGGTAAATATTAAACCCCTTCTAGAGCCTCAAATACTTTTGAACATTGCTTGGTATTTTTTATTAATTTTTTTTTGCACAGAATGACACCAATGTTTTCTGTTTACCCTTTGTACAGCACTGTTGTGTATGGACTTAAAATGCATCTGCTTAGTCTTAAGATGCTTTTTAAAATCTGAAAATAATGTTTGTATCAGCTTTTGTATGAATCTGTATTTTATTGTTAGTAAACAAATAGAAACACATTCTCATATAGTGCTGCGGCCCCTCGGTCTACCTCGTTTAATTTATTAGGCACCAAATTAACCCTGCATCTGTTCGTCTAGTGGTCTTTATTGCTGGCAGTGGGTTGTATAAGAAAAGTCCTCCGGAAGGAAATGTCCTGGTGCGAGTCTGCAAGTGTATTGGGGTAGGTTCAGTCAAGTGAGCAGCTAAAAAGTCTTCTTTATGTGTCGCCAAAAGCTTTAGAGCATGAAAAGAAGGTTAACTTGTTTTGTTTTTTTCAAGTTTGCCATACGTAATCGATGGAGGAATTCCAAGAAGAGTCCAAAACGTAAACACTGGCTGGATTGGGCAGAGGAGAAGTATTCAGTGTGTTCTGTTTTAACCAATCGGAATGGTTTTACCCCTACCTAGAGAATACAATGAAAGTTAAAAACTTGTTTTGCAGAAACGGCTCATCCAGGAAATTAAAATGGTCTGCAGGGTGCTGCTTCTTTATATTCCTTTACCTATGTTTTGGGCTCTCTTTGACCAGCAGGTAAAAGTTAGTTTAGTATGTTTTTTGTTTAGCTGTTGCACACCGTTTTGAAGTTTTGAAGCTTATTTGTATGATGTTTTCGAGTACGCGTTCAATTCAGGGTTCCCGCTGGACTCTTCAAGCTACTCGGATGAACATGAATTTTGTAAGTTGCATTTGTGGCCTCTATTAGTTAGACTTGCAAGATTGCTCTTATCACATTTCATAACATTATTTCAATAAGCGATTGGTATAAAATAGAGATGTTCCGATACCATTTTTCCCTCCCGATACCGATACTTGGGCTCAGGGTATCGGCCGATACCGAGTACCGATCCGATACCTGGGCGTGTATCTGTAATAAAATAACGTGTTTAATTGAGATTTTAACATATTTACTTTAAATATTGTAAAATATTTACTATGGAATGCAAACGTTTTTAATGCACATTTTTTAATGCCAAATGTGAATTTGTTTTTGAAGGGTGGAGGTTTCATTGTAAAGCCGGATCAAATGCAGGTAAGACAGAGATATCAAAGGTGATTACCAGCCACTACACACACATGCATTTGTTACAGCAGAGTCCATAGTATGAGATAGTTAAGGAGTAATTTGCTGATGACATTCTGCATTCTTTTTGCTTCGCCAGCAGGTCATTTAAACAATGTTTTTCACGTTCTGACAGGCCTAGTCTCTGTAACGCTGTTTTACCTCTTGTGTTGATAACGATTGACAAAGAACAGGTTTTACTTTTCATTACAAAAATCGAAAGTGAAAATAAAATTTCCTAAAACCTAAACTTATACATTGTTCCAAGAACTTTTTGAATTTTTTGTCAGAACTTTGCAAAATACAAACAGTATCACAAGTCTTGTACTTCCAAGGCTTATCCCTACTTTTCATCACTAGATGGCACTGATTTGGGGTCTGTAAAATGAAATTGAAAACTGATTTGCACATTTTCTCACAATTTAATTTAATTACCTTGCAAATTAAATTGTTTCAACTCTTGTAATGTTCATTTAAAACCAAAAATGTGTTTGTGTAAACTAAGCTGTTTACATACATCTGACCAATCAGAAGCTTAAGTCAATACAAATAAAGATCTTACTTTTAAATTTATCCCTAAAAACAAAAAACAATGACTGGTTTTGTATAACTTTGGGTTTACTTAACATGTTAGAAAGAGGTTAATCTAAATCTGTTTACATTTATAAAAAAGAGCTAAACACACTCTTAGCATTAAACCAAATCTCTATAGTGCTGATCCAATTAAAACACAAATTATTTCAATTAATCAACTTTTTTTCAAACATGGATCTTTGATATGTTACTAGTATATCTCTAAATACTAATATGGGTATACAAATTGTAGATTACACTACAGTTATTATACAGTGGTACCCCGATATACTAAATTAATCCATTCCAGGGTGGCTTTCGTATCTCGAACATTTTGTAACTCGAAGCATTCGTATCTCGGGGTACCACTGTATTACTTAGAACAAGGATAAGTTTGATGATGGTGCATGGAGATGTCTCTTTTTTTCAATATCAAATCCCAGTTTATGAGCATTTATGAAACCGTTTTGTACATGTTTTTATTGCGGTCATAACTCATGTTTTAATGTCTGAATGTTATGTTTATAGAGCCATTCTTTGGGTGTGTGTTTCTGTGTTTTTAAGATGCTGAATGCGTTGCTGATTCTGGTGTTTGTTCCAGTTTTCGACATGGGCATTTACCCACTAGTAAAGCTATGCCGTATCAAACTCACGTGAGTGCTGACATACTGCAAATGCAAATTTGAAATTAAACAATTAGTGTATATTGATAATCAGTGTATAATCTCAGGGTTAACTACTTTTGAAAGTATCTTGTATGGACCTTTAACTATTTAATTAATTTGTGTCCAATTACTCGTTCATTTTTTTCAGTCCACTGAGGAAGATGGCCACCGGCATGATCCTTGCTGCTCTTGCATTCTGTGCTGCAACTGTTGTGGAAATCTTTGTTATTGTAGGTAGATTTTCAAAACCAAACATTTATTTTAGCAGTAACTGGTAGCATTAACTGAGAGATGATCTCTCTTGATCAGAAAACAGTTGTGGAGCCCCCTGCAGCCAAAGAAAGCCTGGTTCAAGTTTACAATCTAATGGATTCTAAGGTCACTGTACATTTTCAGGAGTACACCGGTTTCTCAGAATCACTTACACCGTATAAGGTAAGATCACGGATGTGAGGGGAATAAATATATAAAACATTTGCCACCAAACAAAGACATTACAATGTTCCTACATTTAATAGTGGGTTTGTTTCATGCATGGGAGACCAAATAACAACTAAAATCCATAAATCTGTAAGTGCAAATCAGGTCACTTCACATCACACAAATGCATTTTCTTGATTTTCAAGTACACTGACCGGCCACTTTATTAGGTACACCTGCTTGGACCTATTTTGCATTCAGAATTGGCTTAAACTCCATAACATAGATTCAAAAAGCTACTAGAAACATTCCTCAGAGAGTTTGATCCATATTGACATGACGGCATCACAAAATAGCTGCAATTTCCAGGATTCAAATCTTTCATTCCACAACATCCCAAAAATGCTCTATTGGATTGAAATCTGGAGACTGAGGAGGCCATTTGAGTACAGTGAACTCATTGTAATGTTTAAGAAACCAGTCTGAGATGACTTGCGCTTTATGATATGCCACGAAGAGTGGCATGGACGTGGTGAGCAGCAATTCTCAGGTAGGCTGTGGTGTTCTCATGATGTTCTATTGGTACTAATAGCCCCAAAGTGTGCCAGGTAAATATCCTTTACACCATTACACCACCACCACCAGCCTGAACCATTGATACGATACAGGTTTCATGGTGTTGACACCAAATTCTGACCCTACCATCCAAATGTTGTAGCATAAGTAAAAACTCAATAGACTCAATGTTTCCTTTCAATCAGCTTGAACCAGTCTGGCCTCTTATCACGGCATTTGCGCCCACAGAACTCACTGGATAGTTTCTTTTTTTCAGATCATATAGATGAAAATCATCAGTTTCTGGAAAAAAAAAAACATTCGTACATAATTAAGCGGCCGGTGAGGGTATTTTCAAAATAATCAGGATGCACAGGACTGTGTTGATTTATTTAATTTAAGAAGTTTAAAATATTATATAAATCTAAGAAATATTTGTTTATTTTCAAGTGGACAAAATCTAAATCAAATATTTTGTGTTACTACCTTCTGCCATCAAACCAGCATTAATGCTTGTAAATATACTTGAACAAAGTCTGGGGATATATATGATTATAGTCAGGTGTATGTACTCGCTTTACGTAAAATTAAATTAAAGGCTTTCTTTGAATTCTTTTTTTTTACAAAACAATATAATTATTATAATTATCCATTAACAGCACTGTTTTATTCCCCAGGATTCATCAGGGTACTCGATTCTTCCTCTTCGAGGGGATTCCGAGGTTCATGCAGTGACTGTCGATCACAATGGGGACAAATATGAGTGTGCACTCATGTTCACCGAGCGCATGGCCTACAGTCTCTTCCTGCACCCCCCTGTGCAGCCCAGTGGATCTGTGTGCAAACTGGTGAGCCCCTGCTTGCAGAATTTGAAGATTGCAATAAAACTTCCTCAAATATAACTAACTAGACGTTTATCTTTATTAAAACAAATACAGGTAGAGGATCATATCACAAAGTCTGAAACTGGGGCTGCTTTTGTACGGTAAATCGATGGCCAGAGAACATTGTTTTATTCTTTTCAAGTTACTGGTTAACAGCTTTGTTAAACTTTAGTACTTTACTGCAATTGTCAGTGTATTCAAGGTAACATTCGACAAATCTGGGATTGTTTGTCGCACATGTTTATATATATATATTTTTTTTTTTTCCCTTTACAGGTTTTTCAATACCCACACAGAGCTTATAAACGCAACTGTAGGCACGGAGGAGGTTTATGCACCTGGAAATTATGGGATGTCTTACAATATCAGTGTACCTAGAGGAGTG